TTGAGTTTATGTTTGGTTCCGCACCGCTGATTTTTTTTTTCTCGAAATTACGGGTTTTTTCTAAATGCCTTCACATAATTAGCTGATTTTTCGTATATGAGTCTATGATGAGCTACAGATCGAGTTTACGTTTGGTTCCGCATCGCTGATTATTGTCGAAATAACAGGCTTTCGACTCTGAAAATTTCGTGAAAATAACAGTTATACGGAATTTTTTCTAAACTCCTTCACATTTTTAGTATGTGAGTCTTCTATGATGAGTTACAGATCGAGTTTACGTTTGGTTCTGCTCCTCCGATTTTTTGTCGAAATTACGGGCTTTGGACTATGAAAATTTCGTGAAAATAACAGTTATACGGAATTTTTTCTAAACGCCTTTACATATTGAGGTGATTTTTCGTATGTTAGTCTTCTATGATGAGTTACAGATCAAGTTTACGTTTGGTTCTGCTCCGCCGATTTTTTATCGAAATTACGGGCTTTGGACTATGAAAATTTCGTGAAAACAGTTATACGGATTTTTTTTCTAAACATCTACACATATTGAGATGATTTTTAGTATGCGAGTCTACTATGATAAGTTACAGATCGAGTTTATGTTTTGTTCCGCTCCGCTGATTTTTGACGAAATTACAGGCTTCGGACTTTGAAAATTTCTACTTCTGAAAATGGCTTCTAGCTTTTTTTGCGAGCGGAGCCATTCGAGTCGTTCCGAAACATCTAGTTTCAAAATAGTTAAGAGCGAGCATCACTGAAGAGATCTTAATTGTCGAAATGCGCATCTGGCTTTGAATTTCCAAATAGTTTGGGCTCGAGCATCACTGAAGAGACATTATTTGTCAAATTGCTCATCTGGTTTTGAATTTCCAAATTATATGTTTCCTTGAGCATCACAGAAAAGACACTAGATGTCAAATTGCGCATCTGGTTTTGAATTTCCAAATAATTTTACCTCGAGCATCACTGGAAAGACATTATTCGTGAAAACGCGCATCAATCTGGTTTTGAATTTCAAAATGATTATATCTCGAGCATTACTGAAGACATAATTTGTCGAAATGCGTATCTGGTACAGACAAACTGGAACCATTTAATGTTGTTATTGTTATTACAGAACACTATTCAAGATAATATAAAGCATCTATATATAAAATTATACATAGAAAAGACAAGCTGATGTGATTATCAAAATAATGATATATATATAAGTATGTACTAGTATATTAATATTGTCATTTAAAATTGGTGTTTACACAAATTGATGCTATCATCTATGACAAAACAATACATACTTTTCATACGAACGTTTCGAGTGTTTTAACAAACAAATATAACTTACGCTTACTCTTTAAGTTCTTGACATGTTCTTAAAGAGTACCTATTGTTAAGTTCATAGTTATATTTGCAATAAAAGAGGTTAGCATACAGTATTCCGTAAATTAAAGAACAAAAACAAAACAAACAAACAGGATGGATTAAGCGCATTGCGATGCCAATCTATGGTATCTGGTGGAGAGTTGTCTCATTGACAATCATACCAGATCTTAAGCTTTTTATTTTAATAATCGTATAGAACACATGATAATACTATGCGCTACAAATAACATTCTGATCAACATGAAGAATAAAACTTTGAAATTCGTAAGTTGTTGTACTTTTTGTTTCATTTCTCGCCTGATTTTTTCTGCAAAGTGCCAATTGTATGTACTTACAATGTAATTATTCTTTCTGTCGTTTGATATTCTGGCTTCTGTGTGGTCGTTCTCTAAATGATTATTGACATTTTACTATGTTGTCCATAATTTGTATTTTAATTTTTTAAATAGTTAGTATAATGTAAATATAGTGTCTCATAAGCCAACTTTGGCTGGGTATTTGTCTTATTACTGTACATTGTATATTGTATAATCTGTATATAAACTTTGTGGACAATTATGTGATACTTTAATAAAATAAATATATTATCAAATTATTATTGTAATTGCTTGTCAGTGTGTTAAATGCACAACACTTTATAATATGAAAAATATATTTATTAGAAAATTGAATTTCTCATAGCAATGCATAGAATAATCTATTGACATACATTTTATATAGAAAATTGTAAGGAAATTTATAAAAATATGAAATTGAAACATCTTTCAGATATGACAGTTAGCCATTTGTACAACATAAATCAATTTATAGATGTAATATGATTATGGTCAATAAAATGTGTTGGCTCTCTCGTCAATAAATACAATTTCTACAACAAGATTTTTCCCATGGCTTTTATATATTGACAAAAGCAGATCTACTTTATTTGATTTACAATTTGGGAATACAATATAGGCGTGTAAGGATAGACACCTATAAAGTTAACATTACATTTTTGTTTATCCTGTTTGTGTCAAATCAGAATTATTTAGAGTCTTGTCGATCGTTTTACTCATCCTTTAAGTATGGTCAATTTCCCCTGTATTTGTTTCTCTCACAGGGTACAATTATTCAGTTGTTTAAACCAGTGGAGTTTCTTATATTATAGAGTCTTAATAACATACATCTAAAACATTTTCAATAATTTTACATACATCGTCTTTTACATACTTTTAAAAGATTTTCAATAAATTTACATACATCGTCTTTTACAAACTTCTAAAAGATTTTCAACATTTTAACATATATCAATAGAAAAACAAAGTATATGGGGTATCCATCCATGACACCAAATCAGAACATGCACAGCAAAAAACACACATTGCTGTTCTTCGTCTCAAAGTCACAGTGAGGCCTTCAACACAGAGCAAAAAAAAATCCCATCTCACTGCAATGTTAAGACGGCCCCTAGCATTGGATTGAGCAGAATTCTTTGCAAAAATAATTCGGATAGACTTTGTAAGATGTAACACCACCAAATCGGGCCCGGTCAAAAAAAAAGAATATCGTCTGAATAACATACTTCTAAAAGATATTAACAACAATTTTACATACATCTATAACATGTTATTCAGCATAACACATTGTAGTCTAAGACAATTTTGATATGTCATTGATATTGCATATTTTACATGGTATTCAAAATGTTGCATAACCACAATTTCATCTGTGTCTTGAAGGACAATAGATAGCTATATATTTCCCAGAATTTGGACCTTGGTTAAAAATACCTTCATATGCATTTCATTGATAAATACTTAGAATTTCTAAAAAATTATCAGGATTGCAGTAATCTAGGTATATATGTTATATATATATGCATAAAATATGTTTAACTATATGTCAAACCCGATGCAGTCAGCAAATTATACAAGAAATCCTGGAATTATGAAATTTCGGAAACCGTAATCCTAAATTTTGATGATAAACTACACATACATGAACTTAGACATACAAGTTATGGGTTAATGTTCTCAAAAGAATAATTTGGATTTAATCAATGCCGAGAGTATAAATGGTAAATACGGTTGAACTGGCTCCTTCCATGGATTTGTACAATTACTAGAAGTTAATTAGGTAGAGTGCCTGCTAGGATACAAAACAATTTATTGCCGTCTTTTCCAAAATATTACTTGAGCTGTTTACAACTCTGTAGGGGAAGTTCATCTTCGGACAATCTACACATGTTTGATTTATATTAGTACGTACTGTTGTATATAAAAATACAAATAGGTTCAATGAATGAATATTGCAAGTCATCTTTTATATTAAAAAAAAAACATCCAAAACAAAAAGCTGATGGTCAGTTGCTACATTATTGTAAATCGATTAAAACAATTAAGAACAAATCGGACAAGGTTAACCTTTATCAGTGGACTGGTGGAGGAATTAGACTTACCAAAATTAATGGGATTCGTAATGTCAGCCTGTCGCTCGAATGTATAATGTTTATACAAAGGATATGACCCAGTTTCAGTGAAATGCTGAGGCAAAAGATATTTTTATATCAACTTGTTATCACCAAAAAGATATTCATAACACAACCTGTTATTTCAAAAAGATTTTTTCAACAAAACCTGTGAACGTCAAATATTTTAAACTAATTAGAAGGCCTCCATCAAATGTTGCTTTTAAGTACTATCATAATTTAAGTAATATTGAAGGAAATGAAATTCACTAAAGCTATTGCTGCATACATCGTATCTAATGAAATCCTTATTAGTAGGACACGTGACAGATATTGATCATAACATAGGACAGCATTGCCTAGCAACAATGCCATTACGTCTGCAAAGCGATAAATCCAAGATTTCTGCATCTGCGTCATACGACATTGGGTTTTTTCACAAATAATTAATATGATATACATGATGAGATTTTGTAAATATTGCCAAAGCATTCATAATTAATGAAAAATGTCAGCATTGTATGTTTTTTTTTAAATTTAAGTTCATTTATATGTTTCGGAGTTTAGTGTGACGTCCATTTTTGCTGAAATATTACACATTTTTGTTTAGGGGCCAGCTTAAGCCCGCCTTCGCGTGCGGGATTTTCTCGCTGTGTTGAAGACCCATTGGTGGCTTTGGGCTGTTTTCTGCTCTTTGGTCGGGTTGTTGTCTCTTTGACACATTCCCCGTTTCCTTTCTCAGTTTTGTTTCACAAAGTACTCACGGGAAAAAATATAATGATCATGTTAATATAAGAAAGAAGTTTTGTTTAACAACCTGATTTTAATCAAGAAATAAAACGTTCGAGATTCTATTCTTTTGAAATCATTTAATAAATATCAGCAACCCAGACGTTATCAAATGTTCTCAAAATGTTTGAATTTTAAAAATTATACTTAACGTAGTACAGATTATCCTAGGGAAAACTGATTTTCTTGTTTTTAGGTGTAGCTTATTTTTAGTTTTCTGTGAAATGTTTTGTGGACTGTTGTTTGTCAGGTTTTTTTTCTCCTTTTTTCCTTTTCTATTGAGTAATGGTGTTGTCTGTCTATCTTTGCCTTATAGTTTTTTTTATTACCAACTCATCTCTCGGTTTCTTCCTCCCCCTTTTACATCAAATGTAAAAATAAAATCAACTGTTGATCCACTACAGCAAGTACTACTAAACGAAATCCACGAACTGTTTATACGTGGCGAGATTAGTAGAATCGCAAGTTTAGTTTTATACGTCCAAAGCCGCTCTCGTATCTGATACATTTCATAGCAGTCATACAATTTTATAGGCAAAAGACTGACATTATGTGAGTTAGCGAGTGAATGGAATGCTTTATCACGTACAGGTAGATTGGCATGAAATTTTTTAAGAAGACATTCCGGATCTCTGACGTCTATAATGAGGAGGGTCATACATACAGGAGTATCCAACAACCTCCGAAACCAGTTGGTCAACGAAGTTCTTAAATGTTTTATTTGTCAAAGTCATCTACTTCATTCCGCTTCAGATACTCAAGCTATGATTATATATCTAAATGAGATTAAATTGAGACATATGTTAAAAATTGGTTTACCGTTTAAAGGAACAGACATTCGATATTTAAGGAGGGAGACATGGAAGGATTATTTGAAATCAATAGTGTCTGGATGTGAAAATATCAAACACATATCAATTTTACATTTTTTCGTTAGAAGAAAAACCTAACATCACCAAATTTTTGAGTTAACAAGTTTCATGATTCAAAATCATTATCCCACCCCAGATGCGGATCGAGGATTTTGAAGAAGGGAGGCCCACGGGCCCCCAAACTAGACAAAGTTTGAATTTGAACAGGTACAAAGTCTGGGTTAACCATAAATGTAGCTCCATAAGGGGGGTCCAGGGGTGCCTAAATCCGCCACTGCATCCATACCTCTAAAATGATTACTAACTAAAATCAATTTTCCCTTAAACGAAATAGCACTTTCACAATGAAATCAACAAAACTGTAATACAAATTACATCATAGGTTGACATTAAATTGTTTGTGTACCTATGTAAAATTCTGTTGAGTATCATGAAAGTTCAATCTTGATGGATAACAAAATGTATTAAGCTAATAAAGCAACATTTTAAATGACATATGAAATATAAAGTGCGCATAACTCCATGATAAACTTGCTTATGTAAAATATGTATAATAAATAGCTTCATTTCCCATTTTTGGAGGACAATAAAACTGTTGACAATATTGTTTGGAAGTACAAAACATATGTACTGCCAGTATATAAAGTATAAAACCATATAAATAGGTAGCCGTTTACTGTTTTCGTTTTCTCATTGAAAGTATATGATGTGTTGGGAGCGTTACTCTCTTGCTTGCCAAATCAAAGCATTAAACATTTAATTTGCTCTATATTTATTTGTTGTTCATATGTAAGAGGTTTCTTTGGTCTTGACCCATTAGGTATAAAATATAAAATAAATTTCATGAGATCGACATCTTTTTAATTTTGTTTACTGGACGCATCAATGATGTTTTAATTTGATGTAGTTTGTAAGTTCAAAATGTTATAATGAAGAGTTCCGTTTAAAAATAATTCACAGTGATAGTGCAATTTCAAGTAGTAAAATAAGTAATGATAAAAACGGCGACCTGGAAACGGTACGTTTAAAAAAAAAAATTATTAACAAAAAATTTAAGCCGACAATGAGTTGTCTTGTTTAAACTATCTTACTTCCCGGTAAGAAATCATAAAAGACCCCAATGCTAATTATGGCAAATAAAGTGTATATAACCATCTTTAGAATCATCACAAAGAATTTTTGTTTTTTTAAATAAATAAAGGAGTCAGTCACATCTTACTTCCAAACCAGGTTGGCCTTTATAGTGTCGAAATAGATTAATTTTTAGACTGATTCATCGATTAGGCTACGGTAAATTGTTTACCTGCAATATCAACTCAATTATTTACCAAGTATAGGGGTTGCAAGGTGACTAAACGTTTCTAGACTATTACGAAGTCAAGCGATTGCACGATACATTTTTTCTCAAATAGTTGTGAAAATTCTTGTATTTTCTCATTCAATTTGCTCTACTTTATTCAAGTATGAAATTTTCATAATAACCCATAGAGAAATGAATTATCACAGATTTGAGCTATGTTTTACTCTTCTAATTTGACCTGAACGGGCGTGACTTAAGTATTACGTTATTGTGCCCGATTTTCAGTTCAAGATAATAGTGAATGATATAATGAATGCCTCTACACTATTTTTTTTAAACCATACGTGATCCTACATGTGCCCGATCAGGTAAAATTTATGACGTAATTTGACTTTAAAATCCTAAAACCAAATTTGTTAGTGAAACATAACCTCATCATGTTTACATATATGTTGCATTATTAGCTTTGGTAAAATAATAACCTCTCCTTTGCTATTATATTTAGTCTCATACGAGGCGCACTCTATCATGCCCTTCCAAATTGGCGTATTTGGCAATAAACCTGCTCTCCACATTTCGGCTTTATTGCACATAAAATGAATTCTCTTCAAACCATTAGCTAACTGATGTACAGCTAAAACGGTTCCAGTTATGTCTATAACTTTAGCACCAATTTGTCTTGCATACCAAATTAGCCAATTATCCACGAGCGGTCTACCTATGACTAAATTTGGAACAAATTCCCATGGAAATAATTCATTTGTTATGTAATAATCAGCTGCAAATCCCCATGATATATTGCCATGTTTTGCTAGTTCGTCAACATCACCAGTAGCATTTATTTCCGGTTCGTGCAATCTCGATATATTCACGTCTATTCTCTTACCCACAACGAGAATTGGTCCTTTTTCGAAATAAGGACTCTTCGTTATTTCTATCAGTGTTTTTACTAATCCATCATTAAATACTAAATCAGCATTAACATATGCGTAGAGTTTTGATTTTGTTGGTAAATCCATTGCTTCACGGAACATCGATCTCAAAATTGGTGTACCAAAACACGCGGTTTCTTTAATAGGCAATATATTCCAACCACCCTCTTTTGCTAAAGTTTCTATTTCACTATCATTTGTGAAGGCAATAGTTCTAACATTCCCGCTTAAGGAATGCCAGTTATTCACTGCATTTGTATACACAACTGGTTTCTGCATGGACGGGTTCCATGTTGTAAACATTGTCAACAATGGAATGGCTTCCTGTTTACTTTTCCAAGTCATATTTAAATATTTTTCATAGTTGAAATCAAATTTTACATTACGTCTGTGAAATAATCTAATGGATACACACGATGGACATTTGACCACCATATCCGAGGCAATATGTATGAGAGTGAATATCGTCAGTAAAAGGATGACACTCGATGTAAGCAGACGCCAGTTTGGTTTGTAATATGTTAATCGCATTGGAATAGTTTGCCATGGCATCTCCACTTTTTATATTTCTCATCTGTGTCCTTTTAAGATATCTGAAAAAGAAATTGAAAGTAATTTGCTTTTGCAACCTCTTAAGCAAAACAATCGAAAAAAAATTGGACCACTAAATGACAACGCCAGATAACAACTACTAGTATACGAGATCATCTAGATTTTTCCACGAGAAAAACGCAATTACTGATCGGTCTCTTTGATGAAAATTAATAAGTTCTCGGATAAATTTATGGTGTCATTGTAACTCTTACCTTTTGAATGCAAGCTGTGGTTTATACGTGTCTAATTTTCCCCTTGATATATGATAATGTGTTTTTTGTTTTCAATTTTGTTTTATTCATGGATTGGACAGTCAAGATCGACTCATCATCGCAACAACTTTGTTTTTATTATATTCAAATAGTTTTACATAGTGTCTTAATAATATTAAATAAACATTAAAAAGAGAATTGTTTCCAATGTGTTTTTTTTTAAATATTTGAATAAATAATTGATTTTTTCCATTTGATTAACTCCGCAATAAATATGCTCACGTTGCAACAACATGTACCAAGTCAGACATATGACATTTGTTTTCCATTCGTTCCGTTAATTGGTATGGTCCAACGATTTGATTTTGTCAGGTTTCATGGACTTCCCCTTGGCGTTCGGTATTTTTCCTTAATAATTACATCATGCTTATCATTTGAGTCTTTGGTGGACAGCACACTCATTGATAACTTTACAGCACCTCCTAACCTAATTATGATGAAACTTTGTCCAAATATTTACTATCTAATGGTAGTGTGTATCGCTTGTTTTTTTGGGTTATTTTTGTTCCGAATAATTTGTTGGATTTCCTATAAATGGCAGATTGCGTTTTTTAATTTATGTCAACATAAGGAGAATTTTTGCTGATTTTCAAGATGATGAACATTGTTGACTTGCAAACCATTATAAAAAGAGGGCACGCATTCTGTGAAATAAACTAAAGGTTTCAACACAGATCCTAACAATGTACGTGTACATACATATTGTGACTAAACATTTGAATTTTTTTTGCAGATTTTCCAAACTTACAGCGATAGGTTTGACTAGCCATAAAACCAGGTTCAATCCACCATTTTTTCTTAAAATGTCCTGTTCCAAACCAGGAATATGGCAGTTGTTATCAAATAGTCCGTTTTATGTATGTCGGCGTTTGTTTTTGATGCAGTTCAGTGTTTCTGTTGTTTCGTTGTTTTTCTCTTATAGTTGATGTGTTATCCTCGGTTTTAGTTTGTAACCCGGATTTGTTTTCGCTTAATTGATTTATGACTATTGAACAGCGGTATACTACTGTTGCTTTTATTTACAATGTAAATTTTCAGCAGTATTCTTGATGTAATAAATCTTTGAAAGATTTTGAATTCTTCTACCTTTACACAAGAAGACACAAAATCAACTGTGTTTCATAACTAGATGGCTAAAATGAGCATATATGGCTCACATGACTCCTTTGCATATCTAGATGGCTAAAATGAGCCTGTATGGCTCGCATGACTCCTTTGCATAACCAGATTGCTAAAATGAGCCTGTATGGCTCACATGACTCCTTTGCATAACCAGATTGCTAAAATGAGCCTGTATGGCTCGCATGACTCCTTTGCTTAACCAGATTGCTAAAATGAGACTGAATGGCTCACATGACTCCTTTGCGTATCAAGATGGCTAAAATGAGCCTGTATGGCTCACATGACTCCTTTGCATAACCAGATTGCTAAAATGAGACTGTATGGCTCACATGACTCCTTTGCTTAACCATATTGCTGAGACTGTATTGCTCGCATGACTCCTTTGCTTAACCAGATTGCTAAAATGGGCCTGTATGGCTCACATGACTCCTTTGCATATCAAGATGGCTAAAATGAGCCTGTATGGCTCACATGACTCCTTTGTATAATCCTGTCGTCATAAAGAAAATCTTGATGACGATAATCATCAAGTGACCATAAATCATATCTAGTACATATAAACAAAACACAGTGACTGCTTGTGTATTTTATCCCCAGCCTCATATTCGATTTTTGTTAATGCTGATGGTAATGTATGATGGAAGCTCAGGATATCAAACATATTAGTTATAAGAAAACGGATTTTTGGGTGTAGTTATTTACAATGAATTTAGGGATAACTTATCCTTTGCCGCTTGAAAATGTTTCGATGTGTTTCCTGTTCTTCTTTTTCTCAACTTCTTAAATCTAATTACGATGGGAATGACTGGTAAAGGCGTTAATTCATAAGTTTGTTAGCATCTGGCCCATTAAAGAACTCTGCAGAGCTGTCTCCGAAGTTGACAAATGTTTGTCAAATCGATTTTTAATATTAGTTGTATTCATGTTTGACGATACGAGACATCAGTCATAATTCAGGAATATGATAATAAAAGAATTATTTACCCAAAGTTTGAAAGCAATGTACCCATAACAATGGTTGTTAACAATTTTGTATTTGGATGTTTGTCAACTGTTTTTATAACAGTGTTTATAGCAGTTACAGCCAAACAAGCTTCGTCATTTCAATGGGGCACTCCCTGACAAGACAATAAATTTCAACGATAAGTTAATTGTATATTGTCTGTTGAACTTGACCAATTATAGACCAATTGAGCCTGATAAGTCCTCTTAAGACTAATGATCAAATATATTTATTATACGACGTCGTGGAAAAAAAGTGATATAATTTATTTTCGTAACTGTAATTTGTCATGCTGTGTTTGAAGTTTCAAATTTATTATTCTGTCTTTATCACATCAAACGAGTACTTAAAGTATTCTTAACATGTTCATTTGTTTTTCTAGTGCTACTGGAAGTTTTTAAAATATACAGTTGATCCAAACTGTTGATGTAACAGTTATTTTTAGTGCTGGATTGTTGTAATCGAATTTCAACTGAAAATATTTTTTTACCAATAAGGATGATATAAATTCAATATTATAGAAAGTTATTTAACATGAACGATAGATAGACATATTTCTGTCCTATGTCGTCTAGTGGCAAATATTACATCAGGAAGACAACAAGAAATGTGTATCACAATAGTGTGTTAAACAAGTGTGTGATACAATCAGCATAATGGTTTCTTTAAATATATGTCTTCCATTTCCCTTTCAATAGAGATGCCGAAGTAAAAAGCTCAATTTTCATTCATAAGACATTTTGAATTGCTTTGACGTTGCGCACGATGTTGGTACTACTTAGCGTTACACGACGTTCCGCATAATGAAGCGATTTCGACGATTTCAAAGAACGTTTCAAGCGTTCAAGCTTATAATTGATGAGGTCAATTTACTGTTGTGAATTTGGTAACCGATTTCGGTTTGTCTGAAAATGCAAAGTTTAACAAATAAAACTCAAAGTGGTCGTACACATATTTTTTTAATGAATATTCATTTATAGGAGTTGTCAGTCTTTCCAGGCCATAATTGATCATTTTACTTTTGGCAGCAGTTCGCATTAATGAATCATACATTAATTTCCAAATTTATTCAGATTTCTTTTTAATATAAATTAGATTTTGATTTTATTTTCCCTTTTTAATGCATGTTTATACATACTTCTTTTGTTGCATTTCTTTCCGTTTCCGTTTCCTTTCTATATTTTATCATTTCCCGATGCTTTCTTTGTCGCAAAATTTCTAGGTAGTTAAACATTTTGGATTCATGTTTTTCTCATTTCCGTAATTTTGTGGCATTATGCATATCCTTTGTTTTGTTATAATAGCCAGCAATGGTTTTTCTCTATTTTATTTTAATAACAAAAAAATTATGCATGTTGCTTTTGATGATTTAAAACTTGCAGATACACAACGTTCCTTGAATAAAACAAATGTCATGAATGTGCTGAAAAAAAACTAAGATCCCGATATTTTTTATATCAATCTCATATGGTCAACATTTGAATTTAAACTTAAACTTTTCCTTTATCATACCTTGGTTATATTATAACTTATATTTTTATTTTCATTCGAATTAAACTGGAAACAAATAATTATGAAATAAAATTAAAAACCCGAGCATGACATCAATTACGTTTTGCGAACGTTGGGACAAAACGGCTATACTTTTTGAAACGATATAAACATCTTGTTGCCTATCAAAAAAATGTTAAACACTATATTGTTTAAAAAGAAAAAGAAAAAACTTTTACCGCCAAGTTTTATTTTCTTTGATCTAACTATGCTTATTTAATATACAGCCGGTTAAAACCTCAATTGTAAAGAAAATACAGCGTTTTTTTCATTGGGACAAGATGGCTATACTTTTTGAAGTCATTGCAATAGAAACTATACGCATGGTTTCCGGCAAAAAAGTATCATGAACCAAGAGAAAAGTAAACAAACTTTCAAAATATCATAAATATTAATCCTCTCAGCTTTTCCAATTTCACGGTATAAATGCGCAAACCCGATATATGCTTACCTTGCATATGCTTGGACATTTTTCATACCGTTTTCAAAAATAACATTTTCCGGTTTACGGTTTCAGTGATATTGATTTTGCTTTAACACGCGAATAACAATAACAATAGCAATACTCTTGTGAAGTTTTACGATGGTCAGAAAAAAAATACTGTAGGAAAGAAACGGAACTCCGATCTTTTGCACACAAAATGTAACGTTGGACATTACGTTTTTGCGTAAAAATAGGACAATTAAGTGTTATAATTCTTGATATTTTAAATTTCGGTTCCTTTTTATCTTTATTTTCAAGTCTAATGTAATAAATTCAACCAAAAATCAGTATATTTTTATCGAACTGACCAGTCTACGTATTTATTTTCATGCTAATCTATAGCAAAATGGAATTCGTACCAACATCGTGCGCAACGTCATTCACGTCAAGAACATCCGAGTTCTTATCCGTTTTTTTATTGGGATTTTGTGGCTCAATCTTTAGTTTTGTCTTATCAGTTCTTTGTCTGTTTGTCTGTTCGTCTTTTTCTTCTGTTTTGCCATGTTATGTCTTTCTTAATTTAAAAAAAATGTTGATTGCCGCTATGGCTTGATTGTTCCCGTTTTTATAGGTTAAGGCTTCATTATAACTATAATGAAGCATTTTCTCCTTTTTCTACAAATTTAAAATTTAGGAGATCAGGCGGAATTTCAGCAATATAAATGTCCGATTGGATCACATTCTTGAATGAATTTTAGTTTTTTTGGTATGTTTTTTCCTCACGCAAAACCAAGTTATGATAACTTCATAAGTACATAGACTGTAACAGTTTTATTTTGGTTCTCAATTTTTTTGAACTTATAAAACCACCCGGTAGATACCATTAAATGGCCAAAATGATAAATGTTATACTCAGAAACACGATATGGTTGTTTTTTTCTATGATCGTGGAGAATTTATATATTTAAGTGGCAAATCTACTAAGAGTATAAAACATGCAATATTTTGGTCGATTTTGTTAGTCTTTTTAACATTATTTTTAACTTAGTACAATTCTTTTGCTGCAATTTTAACATTAAAATCCACCATTCAGATTAATGGTGGTAAATAAGATTATTGCAAAGCAAATGTGAAGAAAAATATCCAAAAATGAATCTCGGGGAAAAAATAAGAGCACATTATTTCGCGAGACAAAAAAAATTGTCTAACAAACAGTTACAAGCGGGATCTCAGCAATAATTAGAGAATCGCTTATTTTCAGCGACTCAGTCGCGGTGCTTAAAGTTCAATATACATACACGCCTTTACATGTTTGATTGTGTATCTATTGTCTTGTCGGGTTGATGTCTTAATTGTGTATATCTCACTTTTTTAAATTAAACAATGCACTTGATCGATTCATGAACTTACGATAAATTTTAGTCGTAAGATTTATTAGTGAAAAAGTGCCCAGGAACCTCGTCAGTGGTTGTTTTTTTTATTTATTTTGTTTATATCTTTTTGTTTTGTTTTTGTAGGGGTATACCCTACATCTCAATTTATTTATATCTTAACATTTAGTATCTATAATAAAGAAAAATAAATAAAAAATTGCAAAATGTTACCTTGATCGTGAATATATCCCACATCATTTTATTTAACGTCATTAATCAACGTATTATTCAACATGAATTTGACATTTCCATAAAAGTTAAGTCCTTTTCATTTCGTCTAGGTGTAGGTTTAAGGGACAATTATTATTATTTTGATTTGCATTAAAAATATCTAAGCTGTTACACACCATTGATGACTTAACGTACTATGCCGCAGATAATTTTATTACCTATCGACTTTCGATGAGAAAAGGAAATCTTTTTATGCTATTTAGACCTGAAAATAATTACATCATAAGAGATTTGTTGTCTGAGGAATATTATGAACAAAACTATATCAAAACGAATTTTTAATTCGTTATAGTTCAGTTAAGAAAGAAAAACATTTTTATTGTTGTATTATTTGAAAAGAACGAAGTTAGACGCGTCATTATTTACTTGGAATGCAATCTCCTATATGATAAGTATGGAAAGAATTGATAATAATCGGCGGGGTCGTGAATTTCTAAAAGCCGAAGATTTATTTGTATCCATGTATTTCTAAGGGAAAAATAATAATTATCGGGGGGGGGGGGGGGGGTTCACTGTGGCTTTCCATAGATAAGAACACATTTTTTTTCTTTTTAGAAATGTGCGGAGGTAAGAATGAATAACATTGAGTTTGGAAATGGGGAATATGTCAAAGAGACTACAACCCGACCAAAGAGCAGACAACAGCCGAAGGCCACCAATGGGTCTTCAACGCAGCGAGAAAATCCCACACCCGGAGGTGGTCCTCAGCTGGCCCCTAAATAAAATTGTGTACTAGTTCAGTGAAAATGGACGTTATACTAAACTCCAAAACATATAAATGAACTAAAATTAAAAAACATACAAGACTAACAAAGGTCAGAGGTACACATTCTACCTTCAGACGACCTTAATATACAACACTATATGTATATTGTCGGAAGATATACAAGTTTGTAGGAGCTTTAAGGAACAGAACGAAACACCAGTTTTATATCGAGTACAAGTAAATAATATATTTTCCAACAATGAACATATATTGTTCTTATCCTGCAACTTTTACTTCATTTGAACGTTCTGTAGTTGTTTTTTTTTAATTCAAAAGTGTTGTCTTCGGTTTTTATAGAAATCGACATGGTTTAAACGCAAACTTCGGAGAGGAACCAACAATAAACTGCTTCGAAGAAGAATATTTTATTCCAATTAAGGGCCCGAAGGGAAGAAACATTTGACATGACAATACATTTAGTAACATCAATAATTCGAGATTAAAACAAATACCATTCAATAAAATCACGCGATATATAATAGAACTTTCTAAAGTAAATATTTTAAAAGCAGCTCATGCTTTTATAATAAAAAGTCCAAGTCTGTCTGATAATAGGTTTATAACTATATGTACGTGAACAGTAAGCTTAACATTGCCGTTCGCTCAAGAAGCTAAATATATATGTATGACTTTGTATGTCTCTGGCTCAAGACAGAAGTAGGGTGTTATTTGTACAATAGTTAAATATTTGCTATATGAAGGAACTTATACTGTATACAACGAAAAAGTTGCAAGTCCGATAGCCTCAGAACCATTATGAATAGCTTTCTTTTGAAAATCGTTTTGTGTAAGGTCATTCGAACCTCGTTTGGGATTGTCTTATTAATGTCATGTCTTATTGTTTTTTTTTTAATTTTAGGAATTTGGTGTTGATGACAGATCTTTCATAGTTTCTTTTTAATTTATTTACAGCTGTTTAGACTCGGGATGATTTAGATCTTGGTATACTAGTATTGTATATATACAGGTATTATACCTATATATCATTGAATACTGTATGATGTCCTCTATGGGGCATCTTTGTAGCGTTGTCGTTGGTTTGCTGTCTCATTAAAGAAGTTATTCCGTATCTCTCTTTTCGAATCATTTGGATTTTCTCGCTTTGAATGATTGGTCCAATTGAAGTCGGACTATAAGAATTCGCGAACGTACAATTAATTATGATATTGTTTGTCAATAGATATCCGAATAATGACTTTTAACGTCTTTTTGCGCCGAAAAAAATAGTCACATCTAAAAACATATGCCCCGAAACCGGGGTCTTAATTACCTTTAATTATCCTTACTTTCAACGGTTGATGGGCAAGGCTTTGTCAACAAAGGGATGATTAAAAGAATCGATTGTGTAATTAATCGTTTAGTAACTCGGACACATAAAATATACCACTAGTGAGACATATTGAGAAGACGCAAAGCTGGATTGTCGTTGAAATTATTTCTTCTCAATTACATAATTTGGTGAACTAAATATTTAAAGACAAAATGTTGCATTTAAATCACATCAATACCGAAGCACTGGTTATCGGATTGCTGGTACCCTCGGGGACTGATATTCTTGATTGGCAGAAATTCGTTTACAGATTACAAATCGGTAGTTAGAAAGTTAAAATTTATTGTTTTTTTTTTCATTTCTATTTCAAAGCAATCATATATGCTCCTCTAGAAAATTTAAACAATAAGAAAGGGAAATTTGAAATCGTGATATGTAGTTGAAAAGCTGACATTTCTATTATCGGGCATAATTCCTATTATAGTATATGGATTGTATAGCACTGTTTTGTAACCTGAAAATTATATTTATTATTAATCTCAATTTTGATTAATATGTGAACTGGAAGCAATCAATCGAACAACGAAATTATGGCCGTAATTTTGTGTTACCTAAGCCCTTTAGGGCAATTAGTTAACGTTACGATAAATTATTCAGTATTTTTTGTTGAGTTTACTACTAAAAATGAATACACAATTAATACATATACACAAACCAATTAAGTCAACTGGTCATCGTTTACAATGTACTTGTAAATTTTAACAATAAGAAAAGGAAATTTTGAAATCGTGATATGTAGTTGAAAAGCTGACATTTTTATTATCGGTCGTAATTCCTATTATAGTATATGGATTGTATTGAACTCGAGTTGACAAACAGGTTTCACGTAGGTCGAATCTAATAACTTTTCTCTTCATATAAATCTTTCTTCAAATCTGATACAAGTGTTCGCACAGAGCTTGATATTTGAAATCGAATACTATTTGAGAAAAAAAATGACTGGCTTTAAAAAAGCTGAAGATAAGATGAGTTTTTGATTCATATACTTTCATTTGCTTTAGAGAGACCGACAAAAAAAAATTATTTTACTCGAGTTTCTTCCTAAATATGGGGTTTCTTCCTGAACATGCATGAAATATTTGCCACTGTACGTTAAGCAACCAACAATCAATCAATCCTAAATATGACTGCTTCATTGGCAATCGGTCATTAATTATTCTAATCCAATCACATTATGCAATAATTTCTGCTTAAGATATTGATGTCTAAATAAAGTGAACTATAAAACAAGCGTAGATCATTAGCCTCGAGTACAGTTCTGTATTGGAATAGTCTGAATATTGTTTGGATGAAGCTTCAATATCAATTAATTACATGAATACCATTTTACGTGACCAAAGTCATTGGTATTTACTTTTTCATTAATTCTGCTGGTCAAGTATTGATTCATATCATAGATTCACCTTGATAACAATGATAATACTTAATTTGATGTATGATTTGTTTCCATAGCACTTTCATAGAAAGGTTTAGCCGTTCGCTATCACTTTTCTTGCCACGAAACAAAATCAAAGGAGCGCGAACATGCAAACAAAAAATTAATATTTTATGTGTTCTTTTAAATACAAAGGTATTGCAAGTGGTAGAGAAGAAATGCTGGCGTTTGCTAAAATATTTTATTTGTATTTATTAATTTTGAAGTTACTTTGATATACTATTGGTATCGTCAGAAGGATCATTGAAACATCTACTGTTTGGTACATAAATGACTATTAAAACTTTATATCTATGTTTACAATGAAATTTCTACATGATAAATTTATTCGAAGTGTTAACGATAATATCCTACTGTGCAAATTGCTTTTTCCAACCTTGTGTTAGTGTTTTACGGGAATACTCGGGGTTTCCTAGGCAAACAACAATATATAAATGATTGCTAAATTGGACCTAGAAAACAATACCTGGTGGTAAAACTGCATTGACCAGTGGCAAAATACAGAGTATTTTGACTGAAACCAATATTTAATTATTTCAAAGTTGTCACATTTGACTGAACATTTGGCCCAGTGATTATTCAGCCTTAACCGGACCATCATTATTTTATTGGACTTTGTGCCACATATACAAATCATAAGGTCTTTGAATTCAACTCGTCATTAGTCCAGTACCAAAATACCGAAGTACCAAGAACTTTAGTTTAATGTCTGATCGTCTTTCAGGTTGAGTGATGTTTATTGTATGGTATTACATGAGACGTGACATTAATTCAAGTATGAATGTATTATCCCTCTATCTGTATCTTATCCTACTTGTAATTTTCTTTGTTATATCACGTACTTTTAAAATGTGCATGAAATATTTGTCGAAGCAAACAATCAATCAATCAATTTATTCCATATTGCACTATATGGCGACATTTTACAAAAAGTAACATGATATTAATTAAAGGTAAAACAAGTTTCAACTAAAGATTAATTTTTTTTGTATATAAAGGTGTACTAATGACAAACAATATGAAAACTATGCACTAATACTTACAAATCGAATTCCATGTATATTTATTTATTTCATTCCAAATAAGAATTTATAATTTCCTAAATAGCAGTAAACTTGAAACAATCATTCCAAATTTAAAAACGATTTACTTGTGTCCGAAAATCACATGACCACAATCAATATATTGACAAATGGTAATTTCTTTGGCCATCTATTAACTATCTTCATTGTAGAAATGAATGTCCTATCGATTGCTGAATAGATAATAATTTGCATCCATATATATATACAGTGTATTGTTCGACAACTTTGTGTCGTTTCAAACCCTGCTTAACAAATGATATTGGAATTTCCTTCTCGCCTCCCATCCACACATTGCTTTCAATTAGTGTCTGTCGCTGATTGAAAGCCATGTGAATGTCAGCTTTGTTCTTTGGATAGGTGAGAACATGAATGATGAAAAGAAATATTATACACAAATCTTGAGACCTTTTATGTGAATGAACAAAAGGTATTGTATAATAATGATATTACTGGATTTATAGACTAACTTTACATTTGTAGTATATTATGTTGTATAATTTAT